ATATATATATATATATATATATATATATATATATATATATATATATATATATATATATATATATATATATATATATATATATATATATATATATATATATATATATATATATATATATATATATATATATATATATATATATATATATATATATATATATATATATATATATATATATATATATATATATATATATATATATATATATATATATATATATATATATATATATATATATATATATATATATATATATATATATATATATATATATATATATATATATATATATATATATATATATATATATATATATATATATATATATATATATATATATATATATATATATATATATATATATATATATATATATATATATATATATATATATATATATATATATATATATATATATATATATATATATATATATATATATATATATATATATATATATATATATATATATATATATATATATATATATATATATATATATATATATATATATATATATATATATATATATATATATATATATATATATATATATATATATATATATATATATATATATATATATATATATATATATATATATATATATATATATATATATATATATATATATATATATATATATATATATATATATATATATATATATATATATATATATATATATATAATTTTATTTACTACTGTTGTACCCTTTGAGTATTTGTATTTATTTATTTGCTGTACTGTTGTGGTTTTTTTTGTTGTTGTTTTTCCTTAATGCATGAATATGTAATTATATTTTTTTATTCAGAGAGAAAGAAAACGTGAGCAAAATTGTATTCTACCACCACATTGGAGCAGTTGATGTCTAATGATTCTGTGTATCTGATGCTGTGGCTCTCTGACTAACATATTTCAATAAAAAAAACAGAGTTAAACTAGAATGAAATGGAGAGGCTAAAAAATATCACTGCATTATGCTGCATGGGCTTAGATGTGTGATGTAAGAGGGTGTAAGACAGTGCATGTGAGAGATCATGTGTGTGCATGTAAATGACATAGGCATATCCAATAGCTCATGGTAACATGCGTTAACTTTGCAAATATTTTTGGAGAATAAGTTGTTTAATACCAAAGACTATGGCATACACAAGGCGGGTCACTCGTAAAGTTTTGAAAGGGAAAAAGTGTACTGACATTTCTCCGAGGGAGGGGCTCGGACCAGACTTTTTTTGTCGTCAACAAACATATTGGAATCTCAGAGAATACTTGCTTCACAGATAAAAGAAATATATCTAAATAAATCTCTGCTTTAAAGGAACCAACTACACTTGAAAACAAATGTTTTTTTTTTTTTTTTTGTAATCTGTATGAAACAAATGCGAGGTACAATCTATCCTGTCAAACGCACATCACATGACAGCAACTACTCAAACGCCACATGGACTTGTAAACAAAGAGTCTCTTCTGGAGAAGATTCACTTTTAAGAACAAGTTGTGGATTACTTCAGAAGACCAGCACGATCCGACAACGCACTATTCAAATGATGATGAATTCACGGCTATGAATGAGGTTGGTGTCGTGATCTTGTTCCTTTCTAATGCACATGCACATTAGCTTGGGCAACCTGAAAAATGACGATTGTGTTTGATTTGAACGTTTAGAAACTAAACTTATGAGACTTATAAGTCATTCCAAACATGTCATGTAATTGTAAGCTTGGCAAATAGTTTTGGAGAATTTGATGTTTCCCTATGCAAACAGAATGCCTGAGCAAACTGCCCGAGAGGCATTTCAAAGATGACCACCGAGTGAAATGACCTGTCTCAAAGGGACTTTGTTTACAGCCATCTGCTCCCTTAAGAATCATACACTGCAGTCCTCGAGATCACACAAATGAATGAAGGATCCGGCAACTGTCACGTAGTTACTATGGTTATAATTACTAATGTTTGAGGGAAGCACATTTATTTCAATCTATGATAAAAACTTGCAGTAAATGATTTTATTACACACCTTCAAGCACAAATGTATTTATTACGCGACACTCTGGAACACTTGATTCTGATTGGTCAATCATGAAATTCCAAGTTATGGTATTTCTATATAACAACCGCTCAAACTAATAATACAGGCTCATCTGGGTACTTGAATCATCTTGACCGTTGTAGTAAATGAATGCTGATCTGTCACACTCCTGTTTTGCACCTGAATAATAACTTAGTGTAGGCTGCATTCAGCTGTTTTTGTTTTTGGTAACTATTTAATAAACTATTACAACTCAGATCAATGTTTTGTGCCTAATTGTTGGGTTTTGTGGCAAGTAGCCATGTAATAAGTGGCATAATCTACTTCATGCCGGTTGTATTCGCAGCTACAGTCTTAGACTGTACCTGTACCTTAACACCCCTTCTGCTTCATTTCATAAACCTGTCAGATTTTATTCTGCAAGAACAACCACCTAGATATACAGTTGAAGTCAAAATGATTAGCCCCCCTGAATTATTAGACCCCCTGTATGTATGTTCCCCAAGCACAGAGGTTTCAGGACAGTGCCTTCCTCACTGCGTGACACAATCCTCTCACTCCACTCTTTTATCCCACACTTAAAGGGTCACGAAACACCAAAACACATTTTTTTGAGCTGTTGACAGTCGTATATGTGTCCCACACTGCTAAAAACACTATTAGGACACCTATTTTTTACTAAAAAGTGAAAATTGGTTGTTTTTGCGTTATTTTGAGCGAATTCGTACTTCCAGTTTGAAACGAATTTTTGAAGCTGCGTCACAGCCATGAGATCTTAGCGTGTATTCCAGCGTGCAGACTGGACGTCTGTGCCAGAGTGTCCCGTATTACGTCTCTGAGTGTGTTGCATTCATTCATGAGTATGTCTTGGTTAAAACCAATCAGCGCGCTCCGTTATGCATGCGCTGCAACTTTATTAATATGTATGCTAGCTTTCTTAGACTGTACCTGAAACAGTGTTCAGACGGCAGAGACAACACACGTCGTGTTGCCAAAAGTTGTGGGAAAAGAATAAGAATTGTTTGGAGATACGGGTCGCCAGTGTTGCTTTCATAATGTGAAGGTTTTGTTTTCATTTTCTCTCTATGAGAGCGCTGCTAGACTCACGTGTGGATCCGTAGACGCGCTGAAATGCGTTTGTTTGGAACATTTTTTACTCGAGAGCATTTCTCATCTATGGTGAGATCCGGATTTGCTGCTCGTCTCCTTTAAAAAAAGATGCAGCTCCAGTATGCTATGATTGTCCTGTCTCTACAGATTCAGTAAGCATGTGCGATCAGCGCCCTTTCTTTGTTTATTCAGATGGCAAAGTTATAATTCGTATGTTCAGCAGTACTCTTTCAGTGTTTAAAAACAGACATTAGTCCAAATGATTTCTAAGTTTACAGTACGTTGATATCACTACAATATTGAAAGATCCGCTGTAAATGCTGCTCTCTGTGTGTAAACACGTAAACACTGTAAGCAAAATTTTGCAGATTTTTGCCACACTTTTTGACAGGATAGTCTACACACACACGGCTTTCTGACCTACTGAGTGCATCTGAGTTACAGAGAAATGCAGAGGCTTTTTTTCTCCAATACGACGTGCGGTATTAAACACTTCACCGTCATTAAACACACTGTCTTTCTCCCCTGCGTGTGTGTGTGTGTGTGTGTGTGTGTGTTTGTTTTTTCCTCTGTCCTCAGCGCGTGCCCAAATGGCAACTCCCATTTTTATTCAAACCCTGCCCATTTTCCCACCCCGACACACCCACTTTCCTGACTTTTTCCAAACTAGAGGTGTGAAAACATCCTGCTGAAACGGGGGGGTTTCATGGCCCTTTAA